ATTGAAAATCTTGAAAAGTCATTAAAAATGAATAAAATCTCAAAACGTCATGAAACTTGAATAAAATCTCAAAAAGTCATGAAAATGTACCAAATTTCGAATAGCCATGATAATTGATTTAGATACAGAGCAGTGGAAGATACTGAAAGCAGGTTTTATTGGTAATGTTATATGTTAGTGGTGAGTTAGTGCTGGAGCGACGCATTACTGAATGGTGAACAAAGTGAGGTGTAATTTTAGAGTTATAACAGGAATCGAATACCCTGGAAAGCTTTCTTTATTTAATTGCACAGCACACAATTGAGTCCATGTGTTTCTACTGAACATTTGAATCCTGATAGATCTGTGCTCTATAATAAAGTAGCCTCACATTTTTTGCATGCATAGAAGGCATAAAATATCAGTGATGAGGAACACCGTGCATTGATAAATACTGCCCTGTTCTGCTCTAGATATTTTCAGATATGATTTTGACACAAGCTTGGACTTCTCCAGCAATGTGACTGTAGGCATCGCAGGGTGGCTTCAGAATAGAGATGCCGTCTTCCACTAACTGTGTGGCTTCACTGAGGTCTGTTTGCTGGCGTTGTTCACACAGAAGCTTAGCGATGCTTTTGCTGCTCTTCACGAGATCTCCCAGTTTTAAGGACAGAATCGGCAGATCGTGCTCCTCGGTTGGAGGCTTCACGTTCTCTAACTCACTTTTCGCCAGCTGAATAGCGACTAGTGGAAGACAGATATTCCCAAAGACTCCCAATTTGTCCGCATGAAAGTCCCTTATCACTGCAGCCTTGTCTTTCAGTGACACGCCAGTGAAGGCAATCTTATCATAAATATCAGGTTCAATGATCTTACGGATTTGCTTTTCCTTTCTTCTAGAAACTTCAAGAATCATGCTCATAGCTTCTCTAACTATGGCACAGTTGTCCTTAATACTTTTGCTCTCATCTGCAGAGACACTGGAGTAGCTTTCTCCAAAGTGAGTATTGATTATGATCAACAGTCTGTTGGTGATTGTGAAGTATCTGTTCACATAGTGATGGAGCGTCTGAGTAGATCTGATCAGCTGTTCATTCTTGTCCGAGGAGACTAAAGACCACATCTTGGAGGCGTTTGCTGTTGGTCAAGAGGACAGAACAACACATCAACACAATTAGTTTGTTTGTGTTTGTAAAAATAG